AAGAATTTTTTTTTGATCCTGGCACTCCTCCTAATTTAAGAAATCAAATAGCAAGGATTTGTTTTCTGGAACTAACAGAGGTTTCTGCAATAATGTGAATTCTACATATAAATCAGCATACACAAATATAAGTAAATGAGTTATCAGATTAGCTGAAATTTTTGTTTTGTTTCTGTTTTTGGAGAAAGTTTCTTTGTGTGGTTCTGGCTGTCCTGGAACCAGCTCTGTAGACCAGGCAGGTCTTGACCTCAACAGAGATCTGACTTCCTTTGCCTCCTCAGATATAAGATTAAACGTATGAGCCACCACTTCCTGGTGACCGTTCTTTGGACATCTGAGAGATGTTAAAAAATTCTTCACTATGTTATGGTAAAATCTCTCTCAGCAGATCTGTACTTTGAAAAAATAAAAAGTACTTACTATCTTCCTAGTCTTTCTCCTCAAAGCAAACACTTCCATAATTTGGCCCACCAGGGTTTCTAATTAGGTAGCCCACTTTATTCACATTACATTCTGTATGTGGTGGTTTGAGTGAAGATGCCTCATATCTTTAAATGCATGGTCCCCAGCTGGTGGAAGTGTCTGGAAAGAATTATGATGAGTGGCCTTGGAGGAGGAGGTATGTCACTGTGGTGGGCTTTGGGGTTTCAAATACCCATGCCAAGCCTAGTGTCTCTTTGCCTGCTGCCTTCAGATTGGGATGTAAAGCTCTCTCTCAGCTACTGCTCCAGTGACATGCCTGTCTGCTTCCCACCATGATGGTCATGAACTAACTCTCTAAGGACAGCCCCCAGTTCAATGTTTTCTTTCCTAAAAGTTGCCTTCACTATGGTGTGTCTCTTCACAGCAATAAACAGTAACTAAAACACTGATAAAAACTAAGACTTAGCCAGTGAAGAAAAGCAGGAGTAAGAATGAGGTAAGACATACAAATCTGGAAACATGGAAAGGAAGTCTATTGAAGTTAGCTGAATAGAGCTGACAAACAGTGAGATTTTCTCCATTCTCATCCACCCTCCTTCCCCGGCTGAAACCCTTCTACTCAGCAAATCCCCATCCCTACATACATGGATTCTTTTGGGTATGACACAGAGTTTTTCTGTTTTTTTGTTTTGTTTTGTTTTGGTTTGGTTTGGTTTTGGTTTTTCGAGACAGGGTTTCTCTGTATTGTTTTGGAGGCTATCGGTCCAGCCCAGCCTCGAACTCACAGAGATCTGCCTGCCTCTACCTCCCGAGTGCTGGGATTAAAGGTGTGAGCCACCACCGCCCGGCTGAGTTTTTCTGTTTTTTGTTTTGTTTTTTTTGCCCAAGTATGAGTGGCAGGTTATACACTAAAGCAAAAGCAATTTATAAATGGCTGTACCACTCAAGAAAATGTTGCACCTTCCTCCCCAAACAATTGCCAAAAGTGCCTCAGTGAGATGGGGGAGCCTCATGGGCCCCTCCACATTGCATAAGGAAATGTCAATGATGCAGGCTTTATGCTGATAATCAATATGGTGAGTTCAGAAGCCCAACATCTGTGTCATGTCCAGAGGATATCTTTTTGGTAGACATCATCCTGATTCCTGTATTCTCTCCAACTCCTCTTCCAAAATGTACTCTGAGCCTTAGAGGGTATATGATAGCTGTCTTGGTTAAGCTGAACACTGTAAATCTGGGCACACTGGCAGTTGTGGGTCTGCATTAGTTGTGGCCCACTGCCATCAGAAGTTTCTCCAATGAAGACTGGGCACAGCACTCATCTCCAATGTCGAACTGGTATTAGGGCCCTGTTTCTACATAACTTCTGTATGGATTTTCAGATTGATATGCTTTTAGAACTATACTTAAGAGGCTAAAATTGGCTTTATCTTTTATTCATCTCTCATCATTATCTATTGGCAGTCATCAGCCAGTAAAATGTGAAAAACTCAGAATCTCATGTCAGAATGTCTAGGTTAGATAGACCCCAAGCTTGCCTCATATGACCTTTCAAGGTCTCAATTTCCTAGTCTATAAAGTGAGAGCTAATATTAAATTATAACATGAAGATTAACTGCCAATAATGACATATCCTGTCATTTAGTAAGCAGTTCAAGAGAGCTCAACTATTATCACCTTCTAACCAGATTCAAGTTTCTACATTACCCGAGGGTAATTACAATTTCTTATTCTTTAAATGACTTCCCACCTTGTATACTTGTCTTCTACTAAACTCATCATATATTCTAAGCCTATAATATCACTACAGAATGCATCTGAGATCATGAGCTTTATTTCAACTTAAAAAAAATGTTTGGAGGAGAGAGGAGGGAGGGGGAACTGGGATTGGAATGTAAAAAATAAATTAAAAAATATTCTTTGGTACAACTAGGATGAAGTCACTATGCTAATAACTAATCTGTGAAGACTTCCAGGCCTTCCTGCTGTTTACCTCTCCTAATTTTTTGCTACTATCCCTACTATGGCTATGACTTTATCCACTTCTAGAAAATGGACTAAATACATATATGTCAGGGATGTACCAGACAACAGTTTCTGAGAAGCCTTTCTGAATGGCTCACCCCTGGCATGGTGCCCTCTTCCTATCAACATACTCACTGTACAGTATCATAATTAACTATTTACTTACATCCCTCAAAAATGAGAGATTACTTGTTTATTGTCACTTTTCCTAATGAGTATTACAATGCCATCAGAGGGTAAGTATTTAATAAACTGTTCAAATGTTTGAATGGCCTCAATAACGTACTTTTTTCCACTAAAGAAAGAATCTACATAAGCAACACCATACCAGTAACTTAATATGCTTATAGCCTGAGAGTTTCAATTAAATATTAACATGACCGTCAAGATCAAGTGTCTGATTTGGGGTTGGCTAAAACACAAGATAACTCAAACAGGTATTTTATTTGTCAAGTATAAAGACTCAAGCCAGATAAATTTTCTTTTTTGGGGGGAAGTAAGTGTGGTTTTTTGAGACAAGGTCTTACTATGTAATCCTGGGTGGTCTGAATTCCCTAGATGGCCTGGCTGTCTTACCAATTCAGATATTCTCTTGTCCCAAGTGCTGGAATTAAAGTGTACCACCAAACTCATTCTTGAGAGAGGGGGGAGGGGAGGGGGATGGGGAGGGGAGGGGGAGGAGGGAGGGGAGGAAGAGGGAGAGGGAGGGGGAGGGGGAGAGGGAGAGGGAGAGGGAGGGGGAGAGGGAGAGGGAGAGGGAGAGGGAGAGGGTGTGTGTTTGTGTGTGTCCACACCACTCTAGTCTTCTACCTCATGGAAACAGAACTGAACTCAGGACAGTCAGGTCTGGGAGGATGCTGTACTTTGAGCCCTTAGTAATTTTCATTAAGAAAATTCAACTTTTGCCGGGCGTTGGTGGCGCACGCCTTTAATCCCAGCACTCGGGAGGCAGAGGCAGGCGGATCTCTGTGAGTTCGAGGCCAGCCTGGTCTACAGAGCGAGTTCCAGGACACCCTCCAAAGCCATAGGGAAACCCTGTCTCGAAAAACCAAAAAAAAAAAAAAAAAAAAAAAAAAAAAAGAAAATTCAACTTTTAACTGGGCTGTGGTAGTGTATTCCTTTGGTCCCAGCACTAAGGAGGCAGAGGCAGGAAGATTTCTGTGAGTTCAAGGCCAGCCTGGTCTATGAAGTGAGTTTCTAGGACAGGCAGGAAAAAATTAGAGAAACGGTTTCTCCTGCTACATATAACTGTATCTCACCCTCCCAAACAGAGATTACAGACTTCTCTCAATATACCCAGCTAAAATTTCTATTTTTAAGATTTATCTTATATTTAATTATTGTGTGTGTGTGTGTGTGTGTGTGTGTGTGTGTGTGCGCGCGCGCATGTGAGTATAGGAAGACTTTAAGAATTGGATTCCCCAGAGCTGGAGTTACAAGTTGGGTATTCCTCTGCAAGAGTAGTACACTCTCTTAAGCCATACTTCCCTCAATCATATTTTTTAAATGCAATGTTATAAATGGGAAAAAGCTACTAGAAACTAAAACCAAACTATAAACTTACAAAGCTCAAAATTATTTTAAAAAATATTTCTTGGGAGTGAGGGGTTGGGAGGATTGGGGGATGGGGAGGAGGGGAGGGAGAAGGAACTGAGAGTGACATGTGTAAAAAGTTAAATAAAAATATGAAAAAAATATTTCTTTACTCTTATTTTCTATTACACACAACCTATGCATATTAACAATCATGAGAATTTATCAACTCAAAACAGAAAGTCTTTTTTCTATAAAGCAGTAAATATTTTAGGTTTTCTGGGACACAGAACTAGCCTTCTAGTTTCCTTCTATCCTCCAGGGTCACTATCCTACTGTTCTGACAGAAAACTGAATACAGTTGCTTTGGAGATTTGAAAGATTCAATCACAGAATGTGACATAAGCCTGCTCCCTTCATACCAAGAACTCTATCTAACTATGTAAATCCCGACAGAGAAAAGTTCTATGGGTGAGTCACTTACTCCTCCATCGGATCAAAGCAATTAGTTTTCCCTTCCAGAAGACACTGAGACAGGAATTATTATTCCCAATCTTCAGATGATGTAACTGAAACTTAAAAAGGATAAAGGTCTGTTCTGTGGCCAATGCTAAGCCTCTGTGAGCATCTTGCTTCAGCAAAATGGGTTAAATCAGAATGTGTAACTGGAGCTGGGCATGGCCACTCCTTTAATCCCAGTACTTGGGAGGCAGAGGCAAGTGATCTCTGTGAGTTTGATGCCAGCCTGGTCTACACAGTGAGTTTCAGGCCAGTTGGGGCTATGTAAAGAGACCCTGTCTGGGGGAGGAAAAAAAAGTTCCAAAGTAAACAAATAAAGACACTTTTTAAAAATTGTGTAATTGAGTATGTCTCCTAGATGATACCATTTTTTAAATCTGGAGGATGTTCGGAAGGAAGGCTGTAATTTAGGACTTAAACCACTGTTTCAAACATAGTTTCGGGCATCTTGCACTAAAAAATTAGAAAGCATCTACAGGAAAAGAAATTTCTTTTCTTACCTGGCTCTGGTTAATAGCTGCATGGTTGCCATGAAATGGAGACTGTCTTTCTTTATCTCGATGATGACGGCTGCTATGTTTGCTTCTCTGCAATTGCTGTCGTAATTTTGCAATCTGAAAAGAGAAAAAATAGAACTAGAGTGTTTCCCACACTGCATAAACATATTCTTGCTTAATTAAGAACCAATAAAATTCACCCTTAATACTCTGAAATTATAAAGCAATTTACAAAATCTAATTGATATATATATATATCACATATGTATGTATAAATTTCCTTTAAAGAGAAACAGAAGTATATTCAACACTATCCTTAATCTTGAATTTTCTCAAGAATCAAACAGAGTTCTCAGCATTTAAATTGTGGTTAAAAATAATTTATTCTTGCCTGGCAGTGGTGGTGCACGCCTTTAATCGGGAGGCAGAGGCAGGAGGATCTCTGTGAGTTCGAGGCCAGCCTGGTCTACAAAGAGAGTCTCAGGACAGCCTCCAAAGCCACAGAGAAACCCTGTCTCAAAAAACCAAAAAGAAAAAAAATTAACTTATTCTTTTGTTGCCTTTACCATTAATCAATTTTTTATTTAGAATCCTTTATTGAGCTTCAAAAAAATTTGTTTTGGTTTTTGAGATAGAATTTTTCTTTGTAACAGCCCTGGCTGTCCTGGAACTTGTTCTATAGACCAGGTTGGCCTCATATTCATACAAGATCTACCTACCCTCTGCCCCATGACTTTTGGTTCTAAAGGAATGCACCTCCACCAAATACAAAAACTACGTGATATTTACAAACCAAGCCAAGTGTGCTGCTAATTTTAATGAGAACTATCCTCCACTGGCTCATGTGTCTGGTCCCGGCAGGTGGTGCTGTTTGAGAAGGGAATCTTTAGGAGGTGAGCCTTTATGGAGGAAGTATATCACTGGGGGCAGGCTTTGAGCTCTTATAGACACGTTCTGCTTTCTATGTTTTAATGAACTATGATCAGCCTGTTTCTTTGTCCATATTCATCCTCCCTCCCTCCTTCCCACTCTCTTCCCTCTCACCTTAAGCCCAGATAAACTTTTTTTTATCAAGTTGTTTTTGGTCAAAGTTTTTATCAGAGCAACAGGAAGGAAACTAGAAGAAAGCCAAGCCATGTAATATACTTAATATAAAATCTTTACGTAACAAATACAATTTATTGTTTTCTCAGCCAGGATCTCATTACCGAAATGTATTAACTACTTCTGTATTGCTGTGATAAAATATCATGGCCGAGTTTGCAGTTCTAGAGAGATAAGGGCCCATGGTGGTAGAGCACAGCACAGTGACAGGACAACAGGAACAAGAGCTGAGAGCTTACATCTTTTATTACAAGCATGAAGCAGAGAGCAAAGTGGGAATGACATGACTTTGAAGCCTCAAAGCCCATTCCCAGTGACATGCATTCTCCAGAAGGCCACAGCTCCTAAACCTACCCCCCCATCAGTGTCATCAACTGGAGACAAAGTATTCAAAGGCATGAGATTATGGGAGACACCTCATTCAAACTACCACACCAAGGCTAGCCTTCAAGTCTTGATCCTCCTGCTTCCTCTTCCCAAGTGCTGGGATTCCATGCATATGCCACCATACCTGGCTACAAACACAGTTTCAATGGCTATCTCATTATTATCCTTCGAATGCGCTTTTCTCATTTACTTCTACTATGGGTGAAATGCAATGCCATTAATTACAGACACAGAAAACAGTAATCAAAACACTGAGTCATCTATATTCCAGTTGATTATGTTGAAGCTGGACAGTGGTGGTCCACACCTTTAATCCCAGCACTCAGGAGGCAGAGGCAGGTAGATCTCTATGAGTTCCAGGCCAGTCTTAGTCTACAGAGTTCCATGACAGCTCCAAAGCAAAGCTACAGAGAAACCATGTCTCGAAAAACGAAACAGAAAGGAAGGAAGGAGGGAGGGAGGGAGGGAGGGAGGGAGGGAGGGAGGGAGGGAAGGAGGGAGGGTTATGCAGAGTTACTAAATCTCAAAAGCACTATCATATGCAGAAATGTCAGTTTCTTAAACATTATAAATATAATGTCTGTATATATTTCTAGGTACATACAGATTCTATTTAATACAAGTCTTGCATCATCAGGTTAATAACACACATATTTCCTAGCAAGGGCTAGATGGCCTGAGCGGGCAGCTGGACATGGATGAACTAGCAGGCAGCAGGGGCGGTCTCTAGGATCTATTTTGCCACTGGAAGTTCCCCCACAAACTCCTAGAAAGTGTAACCTCCTCCATTACCCTCCTTCCTGATTCCTAGTCCCCAGTTGTGCATAAATCCACCATGACCCCAAAAGGGGAGACTAAGCAGTGCTGCTGCGGCTTTGGCCACTTGCCACGGCTGTCTTCTCTGTTCTGAGACTGTTCTGGTCACTGAATTCAATTTAGCAGGGATTCAGATGTCTTTTAGATATGATAATGCTAGAATACTGTTTTATGCTATTCTGCTTAATGAAAAGCTAGCTATGGAATTGGGTTATGGTTCCTGCTTCTTTTTTAAAAGTTTTCTGTCTAAGGCAGGTGAGCCAGTTGATGTTATGACAAGAAAGAGAGCAAAACAAAGCAGCCAAAAAGAAAAAGACTGCTGGCTTCACTTGACTTTCTAAGACTTTTGCTAAAATACAAATTTAATCTCAAGATTTATAAAACTATTATATGAACTTTCTATACCTTAAGATTTATAAATTTATTAGGTATGACTAAAGATTTATAAAGTCTATGACAAAAGACTTAAAACTTACTTAACAAGGGTTGATACTTTAAAATCTATACATTTTAAAGTAATTTACTATAAGATACTGTGTATATAACTTGGATAATGGCCTATAACTACACCTTCTCTAAAAAAGAAACTAATAGGTCTTCTGGGTATCAACTTTATCTCAAATGTCATGGAATAAACCAAGGGCTTATCCTTAAATGTCCCAAGTTCACTGCATCTGCATTTATCAAGTCAAAGATGCTTTCATTTAATCTATGCAAAAAATCTTCTAATAATTTTGTCAATTCTAGTCTACACTTTAAATAGAGAACTAAGTCTTTAAAAATCATTTTAAGAAAGTCAAGACAAAAATGCTGCCAAAAGCAGAACGAAGAGAAGAGATAACAGAAACTGTCTCGTGGGGAAAAACTAGCTCAGGCACCCCCAGGTTTAGGGCTGCTTGCATCTCTGGTCAGATCTTGATGTCAACCTGACACTCACTAGCAGGGACCAGCATTCCTGTTGTGTCTTCTGATTAATACATAACTTAGAAGAAGTAGCAGAGGTTTAATGTCATGGTATAGGATACAGCCAGGGTCCTGGACAAAGATAGCAAAAATCTATGTTACTGTAGATAAAAGATTTTTAAAAAAGCTAAAGAATTAGGGCCACAAAACCTCGTTTCTTTCTGGTAAAGCACACAGGCCAAGGAAAATCTGTCACTGTGCCCAGGAAGCTTCTGCCTCTACCAAGGGTTACTTCTTCTTTGTTATTTTCATGTCAAAAGGACTTTTGCTGCCAGAATGTTACATGAAATGATTTTTTGGTAGCCTTAGAGATCTACAAATATGAATGTGATTTTCATCAACTGAAGAGCCAATGGATAACTTAAAAGGTCCTCATAGAAGCAGGCTCCTACACTAAGGTTCTAGATAAAAAGGGCTAAGAAGACTGGCGTTGGTGGCGCACGCCTTTAATCCCAGCACTTTGGAGGCAGACGCAGGTGGATCTCTGTGAGTTCAAGGCCAGCCTGGTCTACAAAGAGATTCTCAGGACAGCCTCCAAAGCCACAGAGAAACCCTGTCTCAAAAAACCAAAAAAGAAAGAAAAAAAGGGAGCTAAAAAGGGCTCCACAGTCCAACAGTAGGAAGAAGATGGAGAAACAACAGAAAGTAAAAAGAAGGGGAATGAGGATTTCAGAAGTGCTGGTCCCACAGGGATATGTAGAGCAAAGATAGCATCTTATGCTCCATATTTCCTTGGAACAAAGATGCTGACTTTGGTAATGTGTGCAAGCCTGTTGCTGGCTCTACAAAACTACATGACAGTATAAAAGTCAAGATACCTGGATGTGCAGGTGCTGGTTATTGGAGGAAAATTAAGCAAAAGCTAAGGACGGGTTCTTACTGCTAGACATATCAATGGTTACTGTTTCCTTTCAAATTCTACTGGGCACACAGCACACCCTGTCTAAAACAAGTTCAATGTTTCTAAGGGTTAATATTAAATTAAAATGCTAATCAATTTAAAACTAAGCTTGAATCCCAATCTTATAAAAAGCGACTAATTTGTTATATATAGACTGCTAAAACGTGGGTTAATAGTCACCTTTATAAATGACCAAATTCTCTAATATGTTCAGAACATGCTTGTAGTCATGCTGTGTACAAATGGAATTTATTTACAGAAATAAGCTTCATTTAGTCTCCTATGCATGTTTTTTGGAATTTAGCCTAAAGCAAATAACTAAAAACAAAGTTTACTTAAATCAGGTATACTGAATAGATGGTCCTCAAAACTTTTCAGAGATCTGCTTAAAATGTTTAATTTAAAAAACAAAACAAAAACCCTTCCTATGATAGACAGAGATGCCAAGTGCTAGCAGCAATAAGGTCTCCAAAGACGACAATGGGCACAGACCTGGACTGTGACACTTACCACTGGAAAACACTGCCCTGTGCCTCGTCTGCAGCCAAGGCACTGCACAAACTGTGAATACTGTTGGGTTGACTGCCCTACAATGCCTAAGTCATAGTGGAGACAACTGTCCCAAGTTCCTTCTCCACAGGGAAATCTCTCAGACCTTAGAGTCTGGCAGCCTTAAGGCCTACACTGTCCTGTGTGACTGTCAAAAACTGACCTTTGCCCCCAGCAACACTACTCCTGGAGCCTACTAGGGTGATCATCCAGGCAGCCAGTAAGTCTCTGTAATTTTTTGTTTGTTTTTTATCAAGACAGGGTTTCTCTGTGTAGCCTTGGCTGTCCTGGAACTTGCTCTGTAGACCAGGATGGCCTCGAACTCAGAGATCTGCCTGCCTCTGGCTTCCTAGGCACTGGAATTAAAAGTATGTGTCACCACGGCCAACAACTTATACTATATTTAAAGGAACTTGTTTTGCAATGACTGCTCTCAATAATCAACTACTTATGTCTCATGGTAAATAATTGATTAAAAAAGATTTTAGATGTATATAAGTTCTGACAGCTTAAGAAAATATTCTAGCCAGGCGGTGGTGGCGCACGCCTTTAATCCCAGCACTCGGGAGGCAGAGGCAGGCGGATCTCTGTGAGTTGAAGGCCAGGCTAGACCGATAGCCTCCGAAACAATACAGAGAAACCCTGTCTCGTAAAAACAAAAAAAAAAAAAACAAAAAAAAAGAAAATATTCTAAAATAAATACAAGTTATTAAAGGTCTAAGGATATAAAAAACATTTAAATAAATTACAAAAATCTAAGAAAAACAATTTAGGATATAAATGCAAGTTACTCTAGACTATTATTATACTAAGATTTCTAAGGTTCAGAGTTAACATTGATTAACAGAGTTCTGGTAAGATGGTAAAGCACTGATTACTATTATCAAGTCACAATCTCAAGATTTTAATTTCCTTTGGTTGTCTTCTAAACATAGATTTGAAGATGCTTCTCATCATGCTAAAAACATAAGCCCAATCTATATCCAGCCCTCTGGACAATACAGAATGTTCATGCTTTTTAACCCAAAGCCATAGCATAGCTTTTGCTATGACTCAAACATATGAGTCTACTCCAGCTGTTTTATAAGCACCTGTTAGCTACTTTTTCTACAATGAGGATTTCAGTACAGACTGCAAACAATGCTGATATTAATGGATCATGAGTAAACCTGTCAATCAACAGTTTCCCCACCTGCCTGCTCCATAAGGTGAAAGCCGCTCCCCCATGGTTTTGGGACTCCTTCCCTCCCTCAACCACCAGGTCCTGGAGGTTCCAAATATAAAAGTTTCCCCAAGTTCTTTAACTTTAACATCTGTCCCTAGTCTGTGTCTGTCTTGGTGGGATTCCACCTGGCTAATAGACACCATTCAGAAATCAGCTGGGGACTGCTAACTGCTCCAAGGGTGATTTACACCACACCAGTCTCAAGTAGTGCACAAAATCAGAAAACCCTAAACTGGCTGAAAACTGATGCGGACCAGTCCAACCAATATTATTGCTCACTGTCTTTTCTGCTGGGTCAACAAACTAGACCCCTCTGACGAATACCTCATTGCCCGAATCCCCTCCCAGCCTTTGATTAATAGTCCAGTCTCTCTGGGCCTGACAATGACACCTTCATTTCAGCAGGAAGCAGTTGAAGAAGAGAATATATTGCCCCTTGTCCTCAACAAAGGCTGGAATGTTCAATCCAAAGAAAACTCTGACAAAGAGGACAAAATGACTATACATAGAATGCCCATTGGCATACCTGGCTGCATCATTATCAGAAAGGTACCTGTTGAAACCAAACAGACCAAGATCTATCAACAGGTATATCATTAGCTAAAATAGTTCTACAATGTGATAAGACACTCAACTTGCTCTATATAAAACAAAGAGGTGGCTTTAAGAAAAATTTATATTTTTATTCATATTGTCAAGCACCTAAAATGTGTCGACGAACTTACAGAGCTCACGGCTGGATTAACCCACACATGAGCTCCTCCCGCCTGGAGACGATGTTCACAGAAAAGGAGCCAGAAGACGAGGTTGCACAGAAAAAGATATGCCAGAAAAAACTGAAGAAACAAAAACTTACGGCATGGGAATAAATTCAGCATAAAATACATGCAGATAAAAGTAGAAAAAAAAGAGAAAAATGTATTTTCTATGCTAACCAATCAGACATAAATAGAGAAAAGCTAGTCACAATGCAATTTTTGTCTCTCACGAAATAGAAAATGTTCAGATACTTACCCTCTGCTGGCATTATCAGATCATACAACATACAACAGATATAAGTGAAAGGGATACATAAGGCAAGGGGGGAATGGAGGAGTAGCCTGACTCCAACCTAATGATGAACTCCAAGCTCATTTCTGTTTGCTGCAAAATTCAAAATGACATGTTTCTGTAATCTGACACCCTCCCCACCCTATAATCACACCTTGAATATACCCTGATAAAATATGTGCTGCCAAATAATTTTGAAATTCCTCCGGAACTCCCAACCCTTGAAAACCCCCTAGGCCTTGCAGTTTTGAGGAGCTATAGACCCTACTTTTTCCTATGTTCAATGCTACATTTTCAAACCCTGCTTTAGGGTGATAGCCCTTTCTGACAGAAAATAAGGCTTGCTTAATTTGACCAAAGACTTTGGGTGCCGGTCTTTACTCTCTTCCTATGAGATTAACAGGAGGCATAAGAAAGACAGATGGGGCTCACTGGTCAGTAGGTACAACTACAACAGAGAGCGGTTCAGTCAGAGACCTTATCTCAAAATTGCAGAGTGAAAAGTAGCCAACATCTGATATTGACCTCTGACCTCCTCATGTTCATGCACAGGCATGCATACCCTCTACAAAAGCGCACACACATATATACCTTTCCAGTACTAGGAAAATGACAAATCTTTGCAGTACACAACTTTAAACAACTAGCCAATTGGAAAAGCCAAATTTCTGCTTTCATGGAACATTCTACTGACCTCTTTAAGCTGTTCTGTGCTGCCCCAGGATGCTGAGCGCTTATGAGATCCTTTCTTCTTTTCAGCATACTCTTCAGCCCACGCACTCTCCGTCTATTGTGGAGGGAAAATAAAACAGTTATTTTAACAAAAAATATTTAGGACTATTGCATCAGACTTTTTCCTATTAAATATTGTATGCTACATAAAAATTGTATTATTAGACATATTTTTTGTTTTTTTGTTTTGTTTTGTTTTGTTTTTGTTTGTTTTTATGAGACAGGGTTTCTCTGTATTGTTCTGGAGGCTGTCGGTCCAGCCCGGTCTCGAACTCACAGAGATCCGCCTGCCTCTGCCTCCGCCTCCCGAGTGCTGGGATTAAAGGCGTGCGCCACCACCGCCTGGTGACATATTTTAATTTTTGAAGATTTTATTTTACTTGTGTAAGTGTCTTACCTGTGTGTGCTTATGGATGATTGTGAGTTACCATGTGGGTGCAAGAACAGTGCTCTTAAGCACTGAGCCATGCCTCCAGCATATTTTAAATACCTTAAACTTAAAAGTCTCTTAGCACTAGTTAATTATAATAAATGCTTTAACCTCTCTTTCACTTCCAATACTAATAAGATCAGTCTTACCTTTGCAAATCTGTAAGTACACCGTTAACAGAGCAGAGTATTAAGGCATAGTAGCAATAGTTAATATTCCTGTGTTCTTAGGCTGGGTGAGATAGTACACACCTTTAATCTCAGCACTCTGCATGACGGAATGCTGTCTATGTGCTGAATTCACTCTGGGCTAGTGAGTTGCAGGTCTCTTTTCTCTCTGTCACATCACTGTTTCCTGTCCAGTTTCTGTTCCCTTTACCTTCAGAAAGATTCTTTCCTCTGATGGTCCCTCAGAAGCAAAGTAGTGTTAGCTTTGTCTTTCTACTGCCTTATTCCTGAAACGCATATATCTGAGAGCTTTTAAAACCTTTATTTGGGGAAAAGGATGTTCATTGGTTAAGAGTACCTGATGCCCTTTTAGAGGAGTGGAGTTCAGTTCCTGATCTTTTGGACTCTGGGGTACCTACACATATTATGTGCACCACACACATAATTTTTTTTAAAAGGTAAAACTAAATCTAAAAACAAAGACAAAAAAAATAATCTCAGTACTCGGGAGACAGAGGCAGGCAGATCTCTGTGAGTTCTCTCTGGTCTACAAAGTGAGTTAGTTGTAGGAAAGACAGGACTACATAGAGACCTACCTGTCTTGAGAAGAAGAAAAAAAAAGATTGCTGTGTTTTTATGTACTAGGCACTGTTAAGCGGTCCATAAATTTTGAAGATAAAGATACTATGACAATGAGAAGTTTATATACAGTGTCTAGGTTCTCAAGGCTAGGAAGCCGGAAAGTTTAAAAGTAACTTAAACTGATACTATCTTTAGTAGTGCATAAAGTATGTGTATAGGACATTCTCAAGAACATCAATTTTTAATGGCTATACCAAATTTGGAGTTTAAGTTTCAGAAAATATAAATGCCAAGTAAATTCTTGATACAAGAAAATATGCTCAGCCAGATGGTGGTGGCACATGCCTTTAATCCCAGCACTCTGGAGGCAGAGTGAGTTCGAGACCAGCCTGGTCTGCAGAGTGAGTGCCAGAGAAATACTGTCTCAAAACATCCAAAAAGGAAAAGAAAATATGCTCAACCTCATGAATAATATGAGAAATCAAGCTTAAACTGAACTATGACTAGGAAAAACTTGGTAACATAAACATTCCTACATTGTTGGTGAAGGTATAAATTAGGACAGTCTTCTGGGACTTTGGCAACTGGTGCCAGTTTTAAATCACATACTGTTTGACGATTCAAGTCCTCTTCTGGTCATTTACCCTGTAGATATATGAAGCGTTCAGCTCTGTGCATGTGCATGCACCTATATGTTCATGTGAAAGCGAGGACACATGTGGAGGCGAGAGGACAGCCTCAACTGAAAACTCCTCAGGAGCATTTCATCTTATTTTCTGAGATATTCCCTTACTGCCTTGGGATTCACCAAGCAGGCAACACTGGCCAGCCAGCAATCCCAGGGATCTGCCTGTCTCTGCCTCCTCAGAACTGGGGTTATAAGCATGTGCCAGCTTTTTTTCCGTTTTTTGTCGTTTTTCTTTTTTTTCCCCCTCCAGTTTTTCTGTATAGTCCTAACTGTCCTGAAATTCACTATGTAGACCAGGCTGGCATCACACTCACAGATCTGCTTGCCTCTGACTCCCCAGTGCTGGAATTAAGGCATATTCCACCACTGCCTGGCCATTACCACCTTTTTGGCCTTGGTTCTGGAGCTCAAATTCATGTCCTCACATTTGCAGAGCAAGCACATTACCCACTGAGCTATTTATCTCCCTGTCCCTCAAATGCACACCTTTACAAAGGAAGGTGTTACAACATTCCTTATAACACTGTTCTCACATAAAAGACCTGACTGACACACACAAACTGATGGTTTAAAAGAAAATGGCCCCCAAAGTAAGAGGCACTATGGGTAGGCGTGACTTTTTTGGAGAGGGTATGGCCTTGTTGGAGGAAATGTATCACTGTGAGGGTGGGCTTTGAAGTTCCCTATCCTCAGCACACTGCCCAGTGTCTCTGTTGACTTCCTGTTGTCTGCAAGATGTAGGACTCTCAGCTACTTCGGTATCACATCTGTCTGCATGCTGCCATGCTCCCCACATGATGATAACAGATTGAACCTCTGAAGCTGTAAGGTGGGCCACCCCAATTAATTGTTTTCTTTTTAAGAGTTGTTATAGTCATGGTGTCTTTTCACAGTAATGAAAACCCTAAGATACAAACCATATTTATTTAGGCTTGGCTCCACATTTTCAACAGAATCCTATTCGGCTATTGAAAAATGAATACGATACACACACACACACACAATCTTTAAATGTACTTTGTAAAAAATGCAAGACTTAATATGGCATATATGGGAACTGTCCACTACCTGTAATTGTTACAGAAAATGCACATGTTAAATAAACTATTTCTGTAAGAATATGTGCAAGGTTGGGGATGGGTGCAGCTCAGCTGGTGGAGTACTTGCCTAGTATGCACAAGGTCTGAGTTTGTGCCTTTCCAACGCTTCATAAATCAGACTAGTGGTTCATTCAAACCTCAGGAGGTAAAGGTGGGAAGATTAGAAACTCAAGGTCATCTTTAGCTATACAGGAACTTAGAACCCATCCTCTGATGAGTGCCCATGTCTTTCTGTTATATTTTGTTCATAAAAAATATCCGTGGTACCAAAAGAAACTGATTGTTAATGGCCCCTTGTTGGGAAAAGACTCTGCAGTGTACTCTTTTGTACCTCTTGAATTTTTTCCTATATAAATATATAATTTATTCAAAACAATAGTGTTTTTAAAATTACTCTTCAGTTTGGCAATTTGGGCATTCTTAACATACTACTTACTAATTATAAAATGGTCTACTTTTAGATGGAAATAAAAGTAAAAGGTTTTCCAAAATCAAGAAATTGTAATCCCAACTAGTCATCTGCCCAGGCCTAGCTCCCTACATTGAAGAGGACTCCACTCTGACAATGGACCCTAACACTGAATCTCAAGACTCAGTTCCCACAGTGACCACCATGTCATTCTAAATTCCACTTCCCACTGGGGGCCTCCAACTGACCCTGCTGTGTTTATGCTTTCTCACACGGGGGTCTACAGACTCTATGTCAATTGTCAAAACACCTGTAACACCAGGCATAGTGGCACACAAAAGGAGCACTTTCTGAGCTTGAGACCAGACTGATTTATGCAGGGAGTTGTAGGCCAACGAAGGATGCTAGTAAGACTTTGTCTCAAAAACAAAAAACCCCAGAACAATAACAAAAATACCAACCTACAAATGAAACCACAGAGCATAGAATATCCACACTAAACAAAAACAAAATTAATGATGCTCAGTATTAAAACTTTTAAATATGAAAATATAGCATAATTATACAGCATAATTCACAAGGTTCAGTGACTACATGTTGGTAATTAAACACCAAGCCTAAATCCTACATCAGTTATAAAATGTGACAACTCAGAGAAATTACTTATCCCTTATGAATTTGATTTATCTGCTTTCAAAAGAAATGAACTACAGGAATGTATATGTCTTAAATTTTATTATCTATTTATATAAGTACATGTAGATAAGTGTGGGTATGTTTGGGAGTGTCACAGAACTGTGTGGAGATCAGAAGACAACTTGTGGGAGCTGGTTCTCCTCTTCCAGCATGAGAGTCTGGGGGACTGAATTCAAGCCATTAGGCAATGGTGGCAAGCACTTTTACCCACTGAGGCATCACGCTGGCCCAGAAGTAGATATCTCTAAGCTTTAAACTGGCAGGACATGTGAGGGGGAGGTTGGGCCAGCATGGAGTGCAGCATCTGGAGATCACCACCTGTCTCCTTCCTAGTGTATTAGTTCTTCCACCAGAAAATGCTTGATCAATATCTGTAGTTCCAGTTTCAAAACAAAGAAGTAGCAAATTTTCAGTTTTCTTTGAATTATTTATCAGAAGATAATGAGTCAAGAGACTGACTGAGAAGTTTAAACACGATACAGTGGTGAGTGAAAGCAGTGCTGTTCTTAGGACTCTAAACCTCAAAATAAAAGAAATTATTAACACAGGCACTGCTGCACCAAGTAATTGAACATAGCTCAGAATATTGATTAAAAGATCAGCTTTTGCCTGTTCTTCCTCAGAAGATTGTGGCTAAATTCAATTCACCTAATGGTGCCAGAAAAATTCATGTTGAATATTTGCAACCCATCATCATAGGAGACTTTATTGCAAACCTACAAGAAGGTTTAGGACAGCAACTAAGAAGAATAATTTATTTTTAAGCTGGGTGTGGTGGTACACAAACTTTAGTTCCAGCATTTGGGAGGCAGAGGCAGAAGAGATGAGTTTTGAGGCCAGCCTGGTCCACACAGAGTTCCAGGACAGCCAGGCCAATCAGAGAAACCCTGTGTTGAAAAACAAGCAAGAATAACTTATTTTGGAGACTGGGGTATACAGTTTGGTCTCCTGGGAACTGTTTCTGTTTGAATAAAGAAAAATTTTGTCCCATCCTTTATAGCATATAAGCAACAAATGATAAAAATAGAGCAAAACTGGTGCATGAATTCTTCCATCAACTAGAACTGAGTGTCATGCAGGCATTTTCACTGTGGCAAGCTCACAAAGGCTCATAACATAGTGTGTTCTTACTAATACTGCAGGAGACCCTAGCCCATGGACCCTGAGATAAAGAGAGGTTCAAGGAAACCCAAACACACACAAGTGATGTGTTACTATGTAGAAAAAACAAATGGAAACTGTACTAATTTTCCTCTCTGCTTTGCACGGAGTATAGCAGTTACATATTTTAAGTAAAGAGTTCTATGGAACCCTTTTTAACTATTTCAGAAAAGAATGCTTTCTGAGGAACAGACTCATTTCATTTCTTTCCTTTAGTTGCCCCTGGAGCAAATACTTCAGAGCAACCAACCCTAAGCCCAACCATCTGACCTAATGGAAGGACTTGGCTTCAAGAGTATCCTCCCAGAAAACACAGGAATACCTGGAATCCTAGATACCCACATGGAAATTCTAAACCACCCCAAATTGTGTGTGCTAGCCTTTGAACAAAATGATTCTCTTCAAAAATTCTGGGATGCATTATTAGCAGCTACTAACAGTATAAACTTGAAATCCACAATGGAGACATCAATTGGCTGATTCCCAACAATATTAAGTCTTTATTTTTTTGTTTTTGTTTTTTTGTTGTTGTTGTTGTTTTTCGAGACAGGGTTTCTTTGTGGCTTTGGACTGGAACTAGCTCTTGTAGACCAGGCTGGTCTCGAATTCACAGAGATCCACCTGCCTCTGCCTCTCGAGTACTGGGATTAAAGGTGTGCGCCACCAACGCCCAGCAATATTAAGTCTTGAAAGTCTTTCATTTTCCATTAACAAAAAGGCAATATTGTGCTGCTGGTGCACTGTTTTGCAAAGTTCTGTCAGTACTTACTAGGTCAGGTATAACCCTGAGAAAACAGCAACAGTAAGGCAGACACAGCTTCACCTTACCAGGAGTCACTATCTAGTAAGTATGAAAAACACTGATACAGAATTATACAAAGATTTAATTAATTACAATGTAATACTATAAAAAGAAACTCCTAACTAGCATGCAATCATGAAATGCCTGTACAATACTGGACTTCAATTCTTTAACTATAAATCAGTTTATGAATGATTGTCTAAGACCCCTTTAATGAATCAGTTTTATAAATGCAAAAGTATGAAACTTCACTCTCGGACTTCATTTTGAGAGGTTTACATTTATGGAACTGATTAGCAATGGGGGCAGTGGACAAGCTTACTAACGGCACATTGCTGACGACTTGCATTTTATTCCCAGAGTTCATATAAAGGTGGAAAGAGAGAACTGACTCCACAGAGTTGTGCTCTCATTTCCATATGTGCTCTATGGCATAAGAATGCAGACTCAAATACACATACACACACACACACACAATAAATTAAAAAGAATATAGCAATAGAATACAGTTTCCCAATATGTGATGGATTTGACACAAAAATGTTAAATGCTATGCAGAGTAATCAAATTTAAGTCCAAAGTCCAGATATAAAAATACTGTGAAATTCTAACCTAATTTCTAAGTAATACATAGGGGAAAGCACACCCACAATTATCTGTCTGTATGGGAATTACTTCTGAGAACTTTTTGAGATGGACATTTCAAGGTGATATGACTTGGCAGATGATCTGGACACCAGGCCAGGTGACCTGCCAGGTGATATGCTTCTGAGGAGATTCTGATATACACTGAATGCTTCACAGTAGACCAAGGAAGAAAAACCTACCTGTGTAGCTTTGTCCCTCATGCAGGGTGCGGCTTGCCCTCGACTATCTCGGGGCCAGTGCCCAGCAAGGTATGGAGCTGCGAGTGTATCCAGGGAGGAAGTGCGTCTGATAATGCTGGAGGGGCTTGAGGAAGGTGGGCGTGTCTTATCACCTAGGTATAAAGCAAAAGTATTTTTAAAAAACAGTTTAGTAGGAAAGGAAAAACTAAGTCTTACACTTTACAGAAGTTCTTCAACCTAAATATGTAAAAGTAAACAAATAGGAACAAGCTAATGTGCAAAACCCAGGCTCAACCAAAACATGACCATAAAAACAAAACTCACGGCCGGGCATTGGTGGCGCATGCCTTTAATCCCAGCACTCGGGAGGCAGAGGCAGGCGGATCTCTGTGAGTTCGAGGCCAGCCTGGTCTACAGAGCGAGTTCCAGGACAGCCTCCAAAACTACACAGAGAAACCCTGTCTCAGGGAAAAAAAAAAACACAAAACTCAGTTGATTCCAAATGCCTATCTGCTATAATTTCGCTTATATGGTGTTTTGAAATAAGTAAATGCTGTTACTTCATAATCTATACCCTTCAGCCTAACATTTCTCTTTAACAACTAGCTATGCATACGTCTAACTCTGAGAAGACAAGTGGGAATGAAGACTCTTAAAAACCACAGAGTAAGCCGGGCGTTGGTGGCACACGCCTTTAGTCCCAGCACTCAGGAGGCAGAGGCAGGCGGATCTCTGTGAGTTCGAGGCCAGGCTGGACCGACAGCCTTCAAAACAGAGAAACCCTGTCTCGTAAAACCAAAAAAAAAAACAAAAAACAAAAAAAAAAAAAAAAAAAAAAAACCACAGAGTAAAAATCCTCAACTGGAGGGGCTGGAGAGATGGCTCAGAGGTTAAGAGCACTGGCTGCTCTTCCAGAGGTCCTGAGTTCAATTCTCAGCAACTACATGGTGGCTCACAGCCATCTGCAATTCAATCTGGTGCCCTCTTCTGGCATGTAGACAGAACACTGTATATGTAATAAATAAGTATTTCCAAAAAAAAAACCTCAACTGGAGAGGTATGAGCAGACAGCTAGCTACCCTTGCCAATAAAGCCTGATGACATGAGAAACCACATAAAGATGGAAGGAAAGAATCAACTCTACAAAGTTGTCTTTGGATCTTCACACATACACAAACTGGAACATGTGTGTGCCTATAACATATGTATCATAATACATATACATAATAAATAATTTTAAAAGGACTCCTGGGGTTGGACATACAGCTCAGCAATAAATAAAGCTCATACCTAACATGCATGAGGCCCTATAGTCAATCCTACTTCAAATACATAATTAAAAACAAAAGTAAAAGCCGGGCAGTGGTGTTGTACACTTTTAATACCAGCACACAGGAGGCAGAGGCAGAGGCAGGTGGATCTCTGTGAGTTCAAGGTCACACTGGTCTACAAAGTGAGTTCCAGCATAGGCTCCAAAGCTACACAGAGAAACCCTATCTCGAACCCCACACACACACTCAAGAAAAAGTAAAAAGAAAATCTGACAGATACATTAAACATTAAATAAAGTTTAAAGGAATTTGTAGGCTAGGGGTGATAGCATAAGTCTTTAATCCTAGCACCTGGTAGACTGAGGCAGGAGGATCTCTGTGAGTTTAAAGCCAGACTGGTCTACAACACAAGTTCTAGCCAGCAATGGCTATATAGTAAGCTCCTATCTGAAAACAAACACCAAAAACCAAAAAAGAGGGAGGGACTAAAAGAATGAATTAGAGAACTGAGAGATGTAAAAGAAATTACTCAAAAAGGTAACACAAACATGAAATAAAAATACAAATGGAACTTAAGAAATAGAGGAGGGAAACTAATGAGATATTTATTGCAATGTGTAAAACATGTAAATTCAAGAAGAGAAATCAGTAAGAAGAATGTTCAAAAAGATGATGATCATTTTCCAGAACTGATGAAAGGTATGTATGGTCTTCAGAATGAAACTGAAGTAGGATCTAGACATACCATGATTAAACTACATACTCCTACAGATTAAAAAAAAACAAACAAACAAAGGCAAACAGAAAACCCTTAAAGCCACACAAGAGGAAAAGAATGACTAGTTCTGTCAGCAAAAGCAGAGGGCAAGGGCTGAAGACAGTAATAACTTCAATGGAATAAGAAAACAATTTAAATTTGATACAAGATGGCTCATCAAGTAAAGCATTGTCACAAAGCCTGGCAACCTGTTCAATCCCAGGCCCACATGCTGAAAGCAGAAAACTGACTCATTCCCTCAAGTTGTTCTCCAACCTCCACACATCTGTTGTGGTACATGCACTCCCTCACTCACACACACAAAGGATAAAACCCTGATAATCAGACAAAGATGACTAACAACCAAAGACGATCCTTGACAAAATTATTTTTTAAGGAAAATAGCACAGAAAGAAGGAAACTAAAGAAGAGTCTAAGAAAATCCACAGCCAACCAAGCAGTAAGCTTGCGCAAAAGGTATTTGCAGTAACACAACACACAGTAACTATTAATTCAGAGACCTTAGAAACAGAATCAAACCAAGGTACTAGATGACAATAAGAGAATTAAGATGAGGGTGACTGGAATAATGAAAAAAACAACAACAACATAGGATTCAGCCTGGGGAGTGTTTAACTGTTGGCACCAACTCTGAAAACAGCATGTGCCAATATTCAGCTTCAAACTGCTACTTCATGGTAAATTTCCCCTGATGCTTGTTGGCCCCAAGAACTCAGCTGCTTTTTATCTTCTAAATGCCCTTGACCACGTGTGACCCAAAACTAGGGGTTCTTAAGAATCACAAGAGAACTCTCCTAAACAAACCGAAGGGGCTGAGCCAGCCATGGGGGGGAAGGCAAGTCCTAAGAATGACATCACAGGGCACACTTGAGAGGCAGGTGTTAATGGAAGGGAGGACCACAGAAGGGAAAGGAAATAGTATCACCTTTATTATGTAAATACAAAGCAATTAGAGTACCAAAGGAATTATAGAAACCTCACCCAAATTTAATCATTAACAACCCCTTTCTTCACAACTGTGCATCATTTATTTAGCACCAGCTGAACAGACATTCTCCCCATTTGAAAAACCAAGCATAGTAACTATTGGGGTGGAGGAAGGAGACAGTGACTTGTCGCTGAGTAGCTAGCTACTTGCTGTAATACTAAGATTTGAATCAGGTTTCTTAGGATTCTTCAAACCAATGCATATTCCTGGACCCCACTCTTAATCTACCAAATCAAAATCTATAGAGAGCAAGGTGGTGGTGGCGGCGGCGGGAGCAGTGGTGGTGCACACCTTTAATCCCAGCACTCGGGAGGCAGAGGCAGGCAGATCTCTGTGAGTTCAAGGCCAGCCTGGTCTACAAAGTGAGTTCAAGGACAGCCAGGACTGTTACACAGAGAAACCATGTCTTGAAAAGTATGCCCAGGAGTTTTTCACAGAATTGATTATTTCCCTGGTAACCCAACAAAATCTCTTCTCAAAGACACCCTATATCAACCTCTGGCCTCCACATGTACATTTGTACACATGTACACATACACACATTCTTAAACATGCACAAATACATTCACTATACACACCAGAAGAAACAGTGTTCACCATAAAGACCTTACAATGGAGTAAACCCCAGAGTTCTAGTTGATAACTAGTTCAAACATTTGTTTATATTTTAATTCTGTAACTAAACAAAACAACCCTTAATAAACCAAACTAACTTTAGTGCCTTTTAGCACCACACACATGATTTTTGTTTGTTTCCAAGAAAGGGTTTCTTCTCTGTGTAGCCCTGGCTGACCTCAAACTCAAAGAGATCTTCCTGCCTCTGCCTCCCAAATCTTGGGATTAAAGAAAGGTGTAAACTACCACCATACCACCCAGCTTTTTGTTTTTTTATTTGTTTGCTCTAAGTACTGTTTTTGTAAAACTAAGATTATGAAAAGATAAAACTTACTATTAAATTCGAGATTTTTCATTATATCTGAGTTTAGGGAGGCTACAAGCCATAGTCTAAATCTGGTCTTCAACCCTTTATATATGGTTAGTATACTACTAATTTAAATGTACTGGTTTTTTTTTTACTTTAAATAACTGAATTTTTATCTTAATACACTGAGAAATGAACTTGTAAATCAACTGAATTGTATAGAAAATGAAATAGCAAATAAATTAGAACCATGTTTAAAACAGAAGGTCAGGTAAATGTTCAAACTTAAGGCTATCATGGACACAGTGATTCTACAGTCTTCTTTAGAAGGTTGAAGTCTTTCGAATACAGCTTCACTGTGAACCATTCCAGACAGCAACAGCAAATTGGGAATGCTTAACAGGGGTAATAGTTAGGGACATGTTTTCTTGGTGCTGATTTATGTTTGATTGTACTTTTTTTTGCTATTTTGATTTTTCAAGACAAGGTTTCACCGGGCGTTGGTGGCGCACGCCTTTAATCCCAGCACTCGGGAGGCAGAGGCAGGCGGATCTCTGTGAGTTCGAGACCAGCCTGGTCTACAGAGCGAGTTCCAGGACAGCCTCCAAAGCCAGAGAAACCCTGTCTCGAAAAACCAAAAAAAAAAAAAAAAAAAAAAGACAAGGTTTCTTTGTGTAGCCCTGGCTGTTCTAGACTCACTCTGTAAACCAGGTTGACCTTGAACTCACAGAGATCCACCTGTCTCTGCTTCTTGAGTGCTGGGATTAAAGGCATGCGCCACCATCGACCAGCTTGTAAGTACATTTCTGAATGGTTAGAAAAAGAATCAACTTATTTTTAAATATGGAAAAATTACATAAAATTCAAATTTTAGTGTCCATAAATGTTTATTGGAACAGATATTTGCATCTTGTGCCGGTTGCTTTTGTGCTGTGAAGACAATGTTAGGAATATGCAGCAAAGACCTTATGTGGTGCTCTCATAGCCTCACAGTGTTGCTCAGTGTTTTGTCACTCACAGTGACTAAGTTACGCTGTGCATAACTTATCTGGACAGAATGCCATATTCAAGGATGTCAATGTAAAGCATCCACACAGGCTCCTTATGCTACTCTGAGAGGTTGTGAGAGAGGCCTAGCTGGAAGAAGTGGGGTTACCGGGGAGCCTTGAAGTTTACAGTCCTGCCAGCTTGCT